CAACAAGCCTGACCAGTTAGTCGCCACTTCCGAAAAGTGTTGGTTGCTAGGAACCAGTTCTAACCCAGATCTTTATGTTGTCAGATTTGGAATAAAATTCGGCTTTTTTTCCAAATTCATGTTTGCAGTGTGTTAGAACTTGTCAGCTTAATAGACTAAATCAGTATGGATACTGCGATGTCATGATAGGGCAAAAAGTGGAACCAAACTTTGTCATATCGATTCCGGCATTTTACACTTAACTCATTTGTTTTGTTTGTTTGACAGGAGCTACGTCAACACCAGGGGTATCATGCCCATGCAAAACTCTTCTACAAGTCATGGCGAAAGGCGGTACCGGCACCATGCTATTTTGTTTTCATGTTAAATGTGTCTCATGAATTATTAATAGAGAGTGCAATCTGAACTTTGCGATGTGGAGTGACTAATTGTTTCTAATGTGAACTTCATTGCTAATTTACGATTGAAAAAATTAGGAGATATATCGGAGTCAATCAATGTTGTTATGATAAATATGAATGTTTTAAGAGTGGATCACCACTTGCACTTCTTTATGGCCATAGCTGTTTGTACAGTAGTCGCTCTTGAAAGATGGTAGGTGTATGACGTGAAATTTGCATGTGTACGATATTCATTTTCAAGAAAAACAAACCAGGCTAGAAACAAACACCAAAAACTGTATTATGCAAGATGATGGTCAAAATCAATGATGTACAGAGATTTATCGACCTTCTTGAAAACAGTCAAAATCAAGAATGACACCCCATGCACGTGTATGGGGCTACTGCATTGTGCACGTGCACCCCACGTGTTGTGTCTAGGGGTGGTGATAAAGAGAAATGGTGGTACGTTCATTTGATGTGTCCCCCGCCGTGATGGAGCTGGAATATTGCTTGAATACTAAACTCACTCACTCACTATTGTAACTTTTGTTTCCGTATTTCCCTGTGCTAATTCCAGGGAAGAATAGGTCTCCCGAAATCCTTGCTAGACATGTGGTTTGTTTGGGACATATTCACGTCTAGAGTACCTATCGAGTGATAATATACACGGCATTACACAGAACTTTTCATGTGACATTTGTATTTTTCTTGCAGAACTTGGCACATTCATTGGTTGTTACTATGAAGATTCACAATTTAACAGAATTCTTCCCAACATTTACAAAGAAAGGAAAATGACAAATGAGAAATGCATGCTTGGATGCCGCAAACGCCTCTACTTGTATTTTGGGACAGAGGTAGTTATGCTGTTTACATTAGTTAAATAGTTAGAAAGAGGTAAACGTTGGATTGTGTTTCAAACAAATGATTCTTCAGTGTCGTAAGTATTTGTTACGATTAATTCAGGGTAATGTGAATGCAATGCTACAAAATGAGACAGTGCTACAAATGTATGTTAAACAAGGTTTCCTTTAATTTGCAGAGTGGTAGATATTGCTACTGCGGTAATGAAATCAGGAGCTCTCACAAGCAAGTGTCCACCTGTGAATGTGGCTCGTACTGCTCTGGTGATCACAAGATATGCTGTGGTGGTGACTGGAAGATCTCCATCTACAGAATCACCAGTACCTTTCACAACTCGTCGTCTGGCCATGCCACATTGCAGGTCTAGATATATCTTCTTCAGTTCAGACCAAATTCCCCAGTCGTGAGTGAGTATGTGTTTAAGCCGCTTTCAGCAATACATAAGCAATATGACGGCAGGGGCACCAGAAATGGGCTTAACACATTGTGCCCATGTGGGGAATCGAACCCGGATCCTCGGCGTGACGATCCAACGCTTTAACCACTAGGCTACCCCACCGCCCCTCAAGCATTATGACGGCAGGGGACACCAGAAATGGGCTTCCACAGTGTACCCATGTGGGGAATCGGACCCTGATCGTCGGCATGACGAGCGAACGCTTTACCCACTGGGCCACCCCACCGACCCTGTACCCTTGTTTGTTGTTTAACGCCGGACTCAACAATATTCAAGCTATATGGCGGTGGTTTGTATATAATCGAATCTGAACCAAACAGTCCAGTTTTTGACATTGTAAGCAAGTGGGATACAATGACATGTAGCAACCAAGTGAGCGAGCATGTCGTAGTTCCCCAGTCGTAAGTGAGTATGTTTCTACGCCGCTTTTGGCACCATTCCAGCAATATGACAGCGGGGACACCAGAAATGGGAATCGAACCCTTGTCTTGACTTAATGGTTACAAAACACTGCTTGCTATCAGACAGACAAACGTACATGAATTTAACGTTTTCGAATCGATACTAAAATAGGCAGTGATAACTAAGGAAAACAAAACAAGTGTCGCTTTTGATTTCAGAAAGACGACAGTGAGGTAAACTCGACCATATAGAAATGTGGCGCAACACCCGTACACCCAGATCTGATACAACACCCGTACACCCAGATCTGATACAACACCCGTACACCCAGATCTGATACATTTAAACTCCACTCACTGGTGTATGCGCGCGTGTGCGTATGCGTGTGCGTGCGTGCCTAAAGCGGATACGTTGTGGTATTAATGCCAACTCTAATTATTGTCTGACGCAATATTCCATGCCTATAACTGCGGTTTGTAAATAATCGAGTCTGGACCAGACAATCCAGTGATAAACAGCATGAGCATCGATCTACGCAAGTGGGAAATGATGACATATGTGAACCAAATCAGCGAGCCTGACCACTCGATGCCGTTAGTCGCCTCTTAGGACAAGCATGGGTTACTGAAGATCAATTCTAACCCGGATCTTCATGAACAATTACAGCGATGTTAACAGTACCATCATTATTGTATAGCTGGACACTGCTTATATATCGCATTGCCATTGTGTTTGGACTGTCATTGTATTTCCTTTGTTATGAGTTGTATTCATGTCTAAACGTATTTTATAATAAAACTGTTAATCATTTCACATTTCTTTGTTGTGTATTGTTTTCCCAGCAAATATACTGACGATTAGAAGAAAGTACACAGTCACCTGATTCTTTGGTAAAATGTTTTCTTTAAAACAACATTAATATTTTAAAAAGTGTTTTGATTCTGCCTTGTCACAAACATTGTACAAGTGTTTCCAAAACACCAGATATTGTACCCAATTAAAACATCGCTAGCGAAATATTTATAGTTTTAATGGAAATAATCCCAAAACACCAGGTGTGTACTTTCTTATGAACGTCAGTATAGTGTGTATGTGAAGTTCGGGTTACTTTTTGTTTACAACTTGTGAATGAACACGTAAAAATGCAATTATATGAATCAGCAAAGTCAGCACGAATGACCACTCTATCTGTGGCCTCTTAACTCAAGCATACGTTTCTGAAGATAGCTCTTTCCCGATCTCTGTTCTGGATCCCGTCCACGTACATACGCAATACGACGCATGCCCGCTTCAGTAGTCCTGTGGTCCTACTTCTTTCATGCTCTTCATTTTCCAAATAGCATTTAACAAAAGTATGAATTCGTTTGAAAATGTTAATATATGTATATTCATGTTTTATCTTTCATTTATATCTCTGACCTCGACCTTAAATGACTCCATACATGTAGGCAGATGGTAGATAAACACGAGATCGCGACATTAGTCAAGTGTCCACGAGACATCGGGGAAGTGTCGCTGTTCTAACGTCAGTGCCGACTTTATTGCAATCAAAAGTAGCGTTCACAACAAATGCTTGCTGATTACATTGCAGATCAATGACTATTAACACTCAGATGTATTCAGAATCCTACACGTGTCCTGATTCAGCTGTGTTTCCACTATAAGCATGAAGACCTAACTAGGCAAATCTACCCGTCTGTAAACAACGGACGTATCCTATGTCCAAATCTGGTCTGTGTAACGTTTGATTTACTAACTGAGTGTTTTACGCCGCTTTTAGCAAAATTCAAGCAATAACACGGCGGTGGACACCAGAAATAGGCTTCACAAGTTTTTCCCTTGTGGGGAATCGAACCCCGGTCTTCAACGTAACGAGCAGATGCTTTAACCACTTGGCTATACCCCACCGATTTGATGTAATGAATACGTTGTCGCGTATATACCTGAAGGATATAATGTATAACTGCCGGTTTCCAGATTTCGGACAACTTAATGCAAGTAATTATATATGATTATTAATGTACACCGTTTTGTGTATTACAACATATTCAGCAATAGCAGCCATCGAGTGCACTCTGCAGCCAAATGCTTACAAAGGGCGGTGGGATAGCCCAGTGGTTAAAGCGTTCGCTCGTCGCGCCGAAGACCCGGGGAAACTTTAGCCTAGGCCAAACTTTCCCCTAGGCTTAATCTTCCCTGGGGAAAGTTTGTCCTAGGCCAAACTTTCCCCACCCTTCAATGAACTTTAAAGGCTACTTGTTTCAAACCCTTGTTCTTAAAAGAAGGAGATTCTGGCCAAGCTTGGCTATTCCTTTCCAAACCTTGTTTTCATGTTTATGTTCGTCTTGAAGAAGTCAGAAACAAAAATAAGACATAGCTATTCACGTGAACACATTGATAAGATATTCATGTGGACTGACTGACTGACTGAGTTTGGCTTTACGGCGCTTTTAGCAATATTCCAGCAACCTCACGACGGGGGGACACCAGAAATGGGCTTCACACAATGTACCCATGTGGGGATTCGAACCCGGGTCTTCGGCGTGACGAGCCAATGCTTATCCACTAGACTACCCCACCGCCCCTATTCACGTGGATGTCAAATTCCATGAACAATTTCAGGTCATCTTCATATTCATACATAACATGTACATAGTTCACATTTTGTTTCAATACCCTTATATAAGGTGAGAATAAAAAGAAAAGCAAGCATAAAAAGAAATATATTATATCATTACTATTGTTTTATATTATCATTTACTTATTTTATATTTTAATGATTTACTTATCCCCACTTACTCCAAATTGGCTTATCTTAAAATCATTACTATATTCGAAACTTGAACTAAATACCCAGTTTGTACTTGGATGTCCATATCTATTCAAAATTTTACTCCCTCGCTCATGGCTATAAATATGACATCCACGTCGGCGACATCAACTTAACAGTTGGAAGCAGACGCTAAAACATCAACACAACAACAACAACAGCCCAACACAATATCTGTATGAAATGCTGTATCATCTATCATTCCACTATATTGCCTTATTCTATTTGGCCCGTGAAGGTCCGGGTTAGAATATTGATCTTCAGTAACCCATGCTTGTCGTAAGAGGCGACTAACGGGATCGGGTGGTCAGGCTCGCTGGTTTGGTTGACACACGTCATCGGTTTCCAATTGCGCAGATCGATGCTCATACTGTTGATCACTGGATTGTCTGGTCCAGACTCAATTATTTACAGACCGCCGCCATATAGCTGGAATATTGCTGAGTGCGGCGTAAAACTGAACTAAAAACAAGGGTAGGGAAGAAGTAACCTAGCTAGCCCAAACTTTCCCCGAGGTAAGAATATCCTAGGACAAAACCTCCCAGAGGAAATGTTTGGCCTAGGCCCGATTCTGCCCGGGGAAAGATCAGACCGGGGAAGAAATGGCCTGATACACCGGGTTCGATTCCCCCCTCTGGATACAATGTGTGAAGCCCAGTTTTGGTGGTTCCCGTCTTGATATTGCTGGAATATTGCTAAAAGCGGCGTAAAAAACATTCTCACTCACTCCTTACTCACAACACATTCACATTTAGTGAGTGAGTAGAAACGATTGTACGATTGTACAATTGTGACCATATCATGAGGATGTGTTTGTGTGACGCCGCATTCAGTATTACAGCTGTACGATTGTCTGTAAACAATCGAGTCTGGACCAGACAGTCCAGTGATTGACACTATGAAAGAGTGAGTAAGTGAGTTTAGTTTTACGCCGCATTCAGCAATATTCCAGCTATATGGCGGCGGTCTGTAAACAATCGAGTCTGGACCAGACAATCCAGTGATTGACACTATGAAAGAGTGAGTGAGTGAGTTTAGCTTTACGCCGCATTCAGCAATATTTCAGCTATATGGCGGCGGTTTGTAAATAATCGAGTCTGGACCAGACAATCCAGTGATTGATACTATGAAAGAGCATGTTTTTCTGAATTACTATCACATAGTGATGATAAGAGTTGTTCGCGAAAAGGTGTGCGCATCCTGCCCCACCGGTGGCACCCGTTATAAACATATGCTTAGTCTAGTCATTTGTTCACCTGAAATTCAATGTCTTTAGAGTTGACAAGAGATTTTTAATATTCACAGCTTAAAATGCCTTCGAAATTACCATCACTGGAGTTCATCATCATCGCCGTCTCTATCTTCATCGTCATCAACTGGACCGACAGATGACTTCGTCATCACTTTATTCTTTAATCGTTTCTTTAGGAAAAATATATGTTTTCTAGCCGCGATGCTGATGCGGCTTAAAGCAATATTAACACACTCACTCACTCACTCGTATTGATGGAAGGCAAATGGCTATGGAAATGACAAAACATTTGACTTGAATAATCTCTTTCTATCAAATGCCAATATTCCTCTTTGCACTTGGAGATTACCTAGAGTCATCTTAAAAGCTTTCATGACAAGCGGCATCATCAGGAGATAAGCCCTTGTCCGTTGATTTTATATGTGTCATTGGAAGACAAAAGTACGTGCATTGTCAGGTCCAATGAAACACTGGCTTTAGAACATACTAGGGGCAGTTGGATACCTTTGTGGCTCGGGTTTGATTGCCCACATGGTTACAGTGTATGGCGCCCATTTCAGGTGTCCACAGATGTGATATTGCTGGAATATTGCTAAAAGAGAAGTAAAACTATACTCACTCACTCACACAAGGGACCCCCATATTATGTGGTGATATCGTAAGTTTTAGGAAACAAATGTTTTGCTTGAAAACAGTACATTCATGTAAATTCTATTCCTGAAGATTTAACTTCATGTGAGACAGCACATCCTGTATGTATGTTCCATGACTCATACTCATAAATGTTCTTCTCCCCTTGCTTTCGTAAACGTATTTAGTTTACAGTCATGTAAATTTTATGTGTAAAGCCTTCATGAATATAACGTTACTGGCGAAGTAGTATCACCAGCCTCACTATCATAGAAACCGATCCATATTAACTGAATCTCAAGCATTCAATATATATAAATCATATTTGACAGTACATATTGTCTGCAAAATAGTAGGGGCGCTTGGGTAGCCTAGTGGTTAAAGCATCCGCTCGTTACGCTGGAGACCCGGGTTCGATTCCCCACATGCATGGGTACAATGTGTGAAGCCCATTGCTGGTGGTAGAACGGGGCAGAACCGTACTCACTCACTCACACACTAAAAATAGTAACATCCTTCACTTATTCAATTTCAGGGTTAGAATTCTTTGATGGTACGTTAGTTGTAGATAGAATATGTGATACATTTAGATGAATGGCAGGACAGGCAACTGTAAAAACCTTATTTCATACATTAGGCAAATACGTGGAATTAATAACCCCTTTTCCCTGTCAAAAGTTGCGATGAATAAAAGGAACATGAAATTGTATAAATCAACGCACATAGTGAAGTTTAATTGCAAGTTTTGAGCTACCTATACTGGAAACATATCTGTAATCTTATTTCAGATACCAAAAATATTTCTGTTATTGTCAGCAGTGTCAGTTTTCTTTTTCATCAATCTGAATAATGTGACGATTCGTTATTGTTTTGGTGTTATCTAGGACAATTTAATATTTTCGTGTAAAACTGAGCCCATTCTATCAAGTGAGTGAGCGAGTGAGTTTGGTTTTACGCCGCTTTTAGCAATATTCCAGCAATATCACGACGGGGGACACCAGAAATGGGCTTCACACAATGTACCCATGTGGGGATTCAAACCCGGAACTTCGGCGTGACGAGCCAACGCTTTAACCACTAGGCTAACACACACACCCACCCCACCCCCACCCCCCCCCACACCAATTCTATCAAGACCACTCCAGGCCCTCAGTGAGTATAATATCACGCCACTTTTAGCAATATTCCAGCGGTATCACGACAGTGGACATCAGAAATGGTCACCACATCGAATCCGCGTATAGAATCGAACCCGGATCTTCGGCGTGAAAAAGGGGCGCTTTAACCACTAGTCTATCATCCTGTCTCGTGACCATATTAAGTGGATCATAGTTCATATCTACAACACAGGCCCTCGTGTCTTTGTGAAGATGACAGATATTAAAATTAACAAATAATTGTTTGAGATGACCCACGACTTGAAATGCTACACAGTACAATACATTACACAGTACAATACATTATGATAAGCATTTCGAGTTGGGGGTCATCTCAAATGTTTTTAACATCTTTAATCCTCGCAATGACACGAGGGCCTGTGATCTACAACCGTTTTTGAGAAACAGCGGCTTTTGCCTGCTTTAAAGATGAACGTGTATGTTTCTGTGGTGAAATGAACAAGAAAAAATATGGTAAGGTTGCTTTTAAAAAAGTATGATGTCTTTTTAAAAGACTTTGTAAGGATAAGAGCTCTAAAGAAACTTGACATGCAAAACATATGGCGAATCTGTAGTGGCATCTATTAAACAGGTTATTGATACTGATGTATAGTTCAATATCTGAGCAGGTTAAACTTTAATGTTGCATAGGCCTAATTTCAGCGGAGCGAAGAAATTGATCATATATGCATCTCATATTTAGAAGCAAATGTACGTATCTTTACAATGCTACATCACTTACAACAGTTTAAAACACGGGATATAAACCATATATTGTCATGAGATTTTTAATATTCTCAGCTTCAAATGGCTTCGAAATTACCATCACTGGAGGTCATCATCATCGAAGTCATCAACTCGACGTTTTATTGATTTTTGTCATCAATTTTTTTAGTTAATCGTTTCTATAGGAACAATATATGTTTTCAAACCGCGATGCTGATGCGGCTTAAAGCAACATTTACACACTCACTCACTCACTCGTCCTCATCATTCTTGTCAAGGGACTGTGTTTGATGGAATGCAAATGGCTAAGTAAATGACAAGACATCTGACTTGATGATCGATCTCTTTCTATCAAATGCCAATATTCCTCTTAACACAAATTAATGTTACCTGGAGTAATCTTAAAAGCATTGGTGACAAATGAGATAGCTCCTCGTCAATGTGTACAGTAAATGGATACAGTCAATATTGCTTCTCAAACATTGATAAAGTGACAGTGACAAATTATTATTTTGTTGACGTAATATCTTAGCACAAGATTAATGTTATTTGGAGAAAACATTGATGACAAGTGGCATTACCAGGAGATGACTCCTAGGCAATTGTACAGTAAATGGATAGTCAATATGCTTTCTCAAACATTGATAAAGTATATTTTGTTGGCGAATAATATAACAGTGTCTAGTAGCATATTTTTATGTAGATTCTTTTTTCAAGAATGGAAATCTGTCTCTCGCACTCACACGTACGGACATCTTGAGACGCCAACACAGTTGTTCAGGATGTGCTCACGAACCCCTTCAATTCTCCCTGCCTGGCTGATCTGGTTGCTGACTGCATCAGAAGTGGTCAGCCTGAGTGAAGTGACCTTTAGTCGTGGACGAAAAGAATTAGATGTAGATGTTGCTTCATTTAACAAAATGCATGTTGTTTCTCTTCTGCAGTGTGTTGTGGTGTGCAGTCAGGTACCGGGTTGCCTAGCAACTGAGTACAAACATTCTACAAAATCCTGCACCATGCTCAGAGCAGGGCACGGAAGACAAGCAAAAACCTCGAAAATATACCACGAATCTGATACCTACGTCTTTACTAGGAATGGTAAGTCATATTTTATTTGCAATTCGGGGGGATATACTGGTATAGCCTCTGGTGAATCAGATTAGAACCGGTTCCAAGCAGCCTATACTTGTTGAAAGTTGTTCTAATCAGAGGTAACTGGTTCGATTGGGTGTGTGACAGCTTGCACTATAAATCGTTGTTTTCAATTGTTCGATCGGTATTCTAGATGTTAGGGAGTTTAAAATGAAGCATACAACTTTATGGATGACAACTTCTTGTTTATTACATAGAACGACTTTCGATGTAGATTCTTACCCCGTCATGAAGCTAAAAGTTTTTAGTTTTGATAACGGTGTTAGAATCTACATCGAAACGTCGCTGTTAGCAATAAAAAAGAAGTTGTCATCCATAAAGTTGTATGTGTCATCGTTGTTTTACTTTATTGTCTCTGGAGAGAGAGAGAGAGAGAGAGAGAGAGAGAGAGAGAGAGAGAGAGAGAGAGAGAGAGAGAGAGAGAGAGAGAGAGAGAGAGAGAGAGAGAGAGAGAGAGAGAGAGAGAGAGAGAGAGAGAGAGAGAGAGAGAGAGAGAGAGAGAGAGAGAGAGAGAGAGAGAGAGAGGGAGGGAGGGAGGGAGGGAGGGAGAGAGAGAGGGAGGGATGGGGCAACAGACGAATATTATTATTCTTATTCTTCTATTATTTGAGGGAGAGGAGGGAGGGAGGGAGGGAGGAGGGAGGGAGAGGGAGAGAGAGAGGGAGGGAGGGAGGGAGGGAGGGAGGGAGCAACAGACGAAAGTCTGGAAGACCTTCTGTTTTTACCCGAATATTATTATTATTATTCTTCTATTATTTGTACGTTTTTTGTACCAGCTCTCCTGACCTAACCGCTGGGTCGATTTTCATGAAACTTTCAGGGGTCCGGCTTCCGATAAGGGCAGATGACCCGCCGAAATCGTTAAACCTCAATATCTCAAAAACTATAAGAGATAAAATCTTCTAAGATGCATTTTCATAGGGTTAAAAAAATAATATGTCACAACTCTGAGATTTCATTTTCGAAAGTACCAATCTGTAGATAATTGAATGGGAAATATTTTTGCTTCAGATTGTTATCATGTAATAATGAATAATTACGTCACAAATGCGACACAAACACAAACATTGCGATTTTTCACATTTCCGCACGTTTAGACGGTGCCTGTGTTTACAAAGCTTATCTCCAGAACGGCAAATAGAACAATCGTGTGTGATATATCGTTGTAAAGCCCGCACCCGGGACTACTTAGATTGCTAAAGCCATGTCGATATTTTCAATAAATTTGGAGTTATCGCCTTTGGCAAACGCATTTTCATAGGGTTCATATAAATGTCATAGCTCTAGTTAGAGAGCTGAAGGAAGCTTCAGTAAAATCTAGCGTAAACCCCCAGTTCCTGGTTTTCCAAAGAGCAATGCGCTTGACATTTGTGCCACAAGGAAATCTGCAACAATTACCAGTAATCTCTCTTTTAGTACATGTATATGTCTGTATATATTGCACATTTCCCTTGCTTTATTTGACTGTGCATTCCTGTATGTTTTTCTGCAGTTTCTGAATTTTCCGTTTGTGTCACAGCGTTGAATCAGTGCCAAATTAATCTAAAAAACTGTAATGGACGCTCCAACTGGCGTCCAAAGAAACAGTATAAGTAAAGGTAGCCACGGTGAATGTATGGGGAAGTCTGAAGACCGTCAGTATTGCCAAAGAGGCAATCCTAGTTTGTACGGATTTTGTACCAGCTCTCCTGACCTAACCTCTTGGTCGATTTTCATGACACTCTCAGGGATGATAGCCTGTATGCTGAAATTGATACAGAGTCGAAAACATTCCGACTTCATGCTTCCGGTAAGGGCAGATAACCCAAAATGTCGAAATCTGTAAACCTCAATGTTTCAAAAACTACTAGGGATAGAGATAGACCAGATTTTCACTCAACGTAAACAACAACATTCCCCATCGATTCAATGCATAGGGGAAGTTGGCCGCCATGATAGATTCTCCGCCATTTTGAAAAACTGAATGTTTTGTTGATTTTCGCGTTTTGACGGTGCCTGTGTTCTCCAGAACAGCTTATAGTACAATCGTGGTCGATACGCCGTTGGAAAACCGATACTTTGGACTACTTAGTTTGCACAAGGCATTTGTAGTTATCGCCCTTGAAATTTGGTCAATTTTTCCAAGACGCGTTTTCATAGGGTTCATACAAATGTCACAGCTCTGCAAAAAACACAATGGATTTCATTGTTCAATGTATCAAACTGTAGATAATTGAATGGGAAACATTTGTGCTTCACATTATTATTATGTAAAAATCAATAATTACGTCACAATTACGACACAAACACAAACTTTACAATTTTTCTCATTTCCGCACGTTTTGACGGTGCCGGTGTTTGAAAATCTTCTTCTCCTGAACAGCAAATTGTGTTTGTTACATCGCTGTAAAGCCCACACTCCGGACTACTTAGATTGCTCAGAGCATGTTGATATCTTGAATAGTGTCGGAGTTATCGCCCTCGGAATTTGGTCAATCTTGTCAAAACGCATTTTCATAGGGTTCATAAAAATGTTACAGCTCTGCGAAAACACAATTGATTTCATATTTCAAGGTACCAAACGTTAGATAATGAAATGGGAAACATTTGTGCTTCACATTATTGTTATGTAAAAATCAATAATTACGTCACAATTACGACACAAACAGGGAGGGACATTACGATTTTCGCATTTTGTCAGTGGTGAGATAGCTGAAGGAAGCGTCTGTAAAACCTAGCAACAATCTCCACTTCCTGGTTTTTCAATGCCCAAAGAAATAGTTCCCTCTTTAACAAGCCGTAGCTCCTTTGTTCTTAGGTCTACAGTCAAAACAAGTAGTGTTCTGGAATTGCCAGGATCTAATCTCTCCAGCAGTTTGTTTATTTGACTGTGTGTTCCTGTTTGTTTTTCTGAAGTTTGTGAATTTTGCGTTTGTGTCAGCAGCATTGAAACAGCGCCAACTTATGATTACACAATGCCATTTAGAAAGTGGTCAAATGTAACATATGTTATATTTGGGATTACACTTTCTTAGTAAAAGTACAAATTCTAGTACTTTTTTGAGTTGAGCCCCATCAGTGGAAGTCGCGGTAGCTGAATAGGCTAGGCGGCTGACTTTGTGCCTGACTCTGAGGGTGTGAGTTCGAATCCCGGATGGGGCTCAACTCAAAAAAGTACTAGACCTATTCCGACGCCAAATCAGCCATCTCTGAACACATCAAAGAAAACCCCAATCATCGAATAGAGTGGTCCGACATCACCATTCTCGCCAACAACCAAACGGACTTCACTAAACGCAAGCTCGCCGAAGCCATTCACATCAAACGCCATAAGCCCACCATCAACCGTGACCAAGGATACTTCATTCCATCAGCTTATGATCCACTCCTCCACCAAGCCCAATCTATTGTATAAACATCTCACCTATTGTATAAACATCTCATTGTAACTACTCCTGTATTTGTATCTCTGGCTTCCATTCATTATCCGTTGTGTACTCACTGGCTTCACCAGCTTACCGCTTAGCCAATTATGGCAATTATGTTGTTTCCTTTGTCTATTATGTTGTTTCATTGTTATATACAGTATAAATATGCAGCTCCCACACTTCATGTATCACTCACTCCTGCTTGACAACGGTACAAGAATCTGTATCGAAACGTCGCACTCACGAAATAAAGAAGTTGTTATCCATAAAACTTGTTCTATATTGTAAGAAAGTGTAATCCCAAATATAACATATGTTACAGCGCCAACTTAATCTAAAAAAACACTGTACGCTGGACGCTCCATTTGTCGTCCAAAGAAACAGTATAAGTAAAGTAGCCACGGGGATTGTATGGGAAAATCTGAAGACCGTCAATATTCCCTAGGAAACAAACCTAGGTTTGTGTGTTATTTGTTTATGTTTTGATCTTGTCTACTCACGAGAGACACATATTAAGATCACATGCATTTGAATACCAAGAATCCTTTTACACGAGGATTGCAATACTTATTTCAAATTATTTCTACTCTTAATTACCACAGCATATTTGTATTGTAACATTGCAAATTCTTTGGTCCCGACGAATGTTTATTTAACAATAACAAGGTTTTTTTCAATAAAAAAATCATAAGAAGAACATCTGAACCGTAAATGAGCAGTTCGGAACTTTTAACAGTAATCTTATAAAGTTCTTTGAGAGGCATTTTAGAAGTTGTGAAGATGAAGGAAAACTAAGTTCTATGGATAGTCAACTTCTTTATTGCAATGAGAGCGACGTTTCAGTGCAGGTACTAACACCGTTATCAAGCAAGTGATGTAGTACCTACACCGAAACGTCGCACTCAGTGCAATAAAGAAGTTGACTATCCATAGAACTTAGTTTTCCTTAATCTTATAAAGGTAATCCTCCTGAATTATTTCTTAATGACCACAGTCTATTTCTATTTTGTATTTTAACTTAAATTCCATTTTCCGCAGACTTGTATATAAATCATAAGTCCAAAGCATAAGTCATAAGTCTTGATCCTCCTTGTTACATTTAGTGTTTGATCACCAGTAATATTAAAACATGATATTCCAGAATGTGGTATGTATTCCAGTATGTTTTGCATGTACTAAATCATGGCTATCTGTAAATGCCTGTGTAAGTAGCAATGGTGTTTGCACTGACAAATCCGAGTGCCCGTTAGTTGTGAAGCATGGTTGTTTGTTCAGTCCTATCTTTTTTCCTTCCTTAGTAGTGAATTGGAAAATGAGATCATACAGGCAAACATGGTGTACAACTATATCCTGATATTTTGGAGATTTTACTGTTACTGTTTGCAGGCGACGTGATCTTAGCGTCCGACTCGGTGGTAGGTTGTCAGGACCAGTTGGACATTTTGGAGAATTACTCGAAAGAATGGAAATTACATGCTAACCTTGATAAGTCAAATATTGTTGCATTTGATCTCTCAGTACAGGCCTATAGTACATTACAATGCCAACATAGTATAAAAATATAAATAGTGTTGTGAAAGCTCATCCAGCTAGATTGCAGACTCTCATTTTGCAATTGTGTTAAATCTGTACACGGAGGCATGATAAATGAACATAGCTAAATCTAGTAGAACTTTCACATTTGTATTTGATAACAATAAATCAAATTTAGTTAAATTTGGTTATGTAAAGTAATAGGGTTGCAAGTATCTTTTTCTAAGTTGTAAGTAAACAGGACATAAAAGCAGAAAATGGTACTGATCTTCAACGGAACTCAAGTTACAAACATTGCAAATTCTTTGGTCCCGACGAATGTTTATGTAACGTCCTGTTTCAATAAAAAGATCATAAGATGAACATCTGAAACGTGAAAGAGCAGTTATTTGATAAAACCAGGGAAGCAGTCCATGTCTGTACATAAATATATTTTAGCATTTGTGTTAATGACAATACAAAATTTGATTTTGAATCTGATCTTGCCAAACTTGTCCATAACCACTACTGAAAAGTAACTCTCTAACTCCAGTTTCTCTTTCCATTTTTATTTAGAAGGGATGGACGACTCCCGTATTTCGAAAAATGGTCTTCTGGTGGCTTTTCAATGCAAATAGTTGCTGAATACAAATGTCGTGGAGTACTTTAATTATACATTGAATATGGGTAAAACTGCTGTTTCCTTATCAGCAAAAACAAACAAACAAACCGAAAACTGCTAGAGTCCATTTACTTTCATCACTCTACCCACGAGCGCCAGCATCACCTAAGATGTTTCTAAAACCTTTTGATGCACGGATTCAACTAATGCGTTTGTATGGAGCAGATATGGGGTTTTCAGACTTTTGAACCGATTGAAAAAGTACATTTATTGGCATGTAAGAAGTTCATTAATGTTAACATTACAACACCAAACTATATGGTATATGGAGAAAAGCGTTGGTTTCTGGAAACCAGTTCTAACCCAGATTTTCATGGGTTGTCAGATTCTGAATAAAACAACGCCTGCTATGTTTGCAGTGTGTTAGAACTGCTTAATAGACAAAATCAGTATTGATATTGCATTGTCATTATAGGGCAAAATGTGAAACCAAACATAACTCATTTGTTTTGTTGTTTTGACAGGAGCTGGCGGTGGACACACCCCAACTGCTACGTCAGCACCAGGGACATCATGCCAATGCAAAACTCTTCTACAAGTCATGGCGAAAGGCGGTACCGGCACCATGCTAATTTGTTTTCATGTTAAATGTGTCTCATGAATTCTTAATAGAGAGTGCAATCTGTACTTTGCGATGTGGAGTGACTAATTGTTTCTAATGTGAACCTGAAGTTCATTGATACGTCTACACTAGTATACCCTTCTAAAAAAGGAGGGGAACTTCATTTCTGATTTACGATTGAAAAAATTGGAAGATATATTGGAGCCAATCAATGTTGTTATGATAATTATGAATGTTTTGAGAGTGCAAGTGGTGATGCACTCTCATAATGGGGACGGTGGGGTAGCCTAGTGGTTAAAGCGTTTGCTCGTCACGCCGAAGACCCGGGTTCGATTCCCCACATGGGTACAATGTGTTCAGCCCATTTCTGGTGTCCCCCGCCGTGATGTTGCTGGAATATTGCTAAAAGCAGCGTAAAACCAAACTCACTCACTCTCATGATGAAATGGTGGTGCGTTCATAATATGTCTGGCTGAAGAGTCTTTGGGGGTTGTTGTTGTTGGTGGTGGTTTGGGATGGATGTGGGGTGAGTGGGTGGATATTTGACGAAGAATATAAACGTCATGTTTGTTAAGTACATGTGTTGGTATCCTTTCGTGGGTAGCCAAGTGAGTTAAGCGTTTGTTCGTCACGTCGAAGACTCGGGCCCGAACCATCATGGGTACAATGTGTGAAACCAATTTCTGGTGTCCACCGCCGTGATATTGATGGAATACAGTAAAACGTGGCGTAAAACAACACTCACTCACTCACTTTCGTTGTCACGTTTGCTGCATACGAGAGTTTTCTAATGACATATTTCAACTATGAGACATCGGTTATTGCCAACTTTGGGACGGTGGGGTGGCCTAGTTGTTAAAGCGCTCGCTCGCTCATCGATTCCCCATATGGGTACAACGTGTGAGGCCCATTTCTGGTGAAATAGGTGAAATATTGCTAAAATACTAAACTCACCCATTCACTATTGTAACTTTTGTTGCCGTATTTCCCTGTGCTAATTCCAGGGAAGAACAGGTCTCCCGAAATCCTGGCTTTGCATGTGGTTACATGGTTTGTTGGGGACATATTCACGCCTAGAGTACCTATTGAGTGATAATATACACGGCATTACACAGAACTTTTCATGTGATATTTGTATTTTTCTTGCAGAACTTGGCACATTCAATGGTTGTTACTCTGAGTATTCACAATGGAACAGAGCTCTTCCCAACATTTACAAAGAAAAGAAAATGACAAATGAGAAATGCATGCTTGGATGCCGCAAACGCTTCTACTTGTATTTTGGGACAGAGGTAGTTATGCTGTTTACATTAGTTAAATAGTTAGAAACAGGTAAACGTTGGATTGTGTTTCAAACAAATGATTCTTCAGTGTCCTAAAGTATTTGTTACGATTAATTCAGGAATGCAATCCTACAAAATGAGACAGTGCTGCAAATGTATGTTAAACAAGGTTTCCTTTAATTTGCAGAGTAGTAGATATTGCTACTGCGGTAATGAAATCAGGAGCTCTCACAAGCAAGTGTCCACCTGTGAATGTGACATGTGCTGCTCTGGTACCAAGATGTGCTGTGGTGGTCACTGGAAGATCTCCATCTACAGAAGCACTAGTACCTTTCACAACTCGTCGTCTGGCCATGCCACATTGCAGGTCTAGATATATCTTCTTCAGTTCAGACCAAATTCCCCAGTCGTGAGTGAGTATGTGTTAACGCCGCTTTCAGCAATACATAAGCAATATGACGGCAGGGGCACCAGAAATGGGCTTAACACATTGTGCCCATGTGGGGAATCGAACCCGGATCCTCGGCGTGACGAGCCAACGCTTTAACCACTAGGCTACCCCACCGCCCCTCAAGCATTATGACGGC